ACTGTCAGGGTGTAGGCTCACTGTGAGGGTGTAGGCTCACTGTCAGGGTGTAGGCTCACTGTAGGCTCAGGGTGTAGGCTCACTGTGAGGGTGTAGGTGAGGGTGTAGGCTCACTGTGAGGGTGTAGGCTCACTGTCAGGGTGTAGGTCTCACTGTGAGGGTGTAGGCTCACTGTGAGGGTGTAGGCTCACTGTGGGTGTAGGCTCACTGTGAGGCTCACTGTGAGGGTGTAGGCTCACTGTGAGGGTGTAGGCTCACTGTGAGGGTGTAGGCTCACTGTGAGGGTGTAGGCTCACTGTGAGGGTGTAGGCTCACTGTGAGGGTGTAGGCTCACTGTGAGGGTGTAGGCTCACTGTGAGGGTGTAGGCTCACTGTGAGGGTGTAGGCTCACTGTGAGGGTGTAGGCTCACTGTGAGGGTGTAGGCTCACTGTGAGGCTCACTGTGTGTAGGCTCACTGTGCTCACTGTGAGGGTGTAGGCTCACTGTGAGGGTGTAGGCTCACTGTGAGGCTCACTGTGAGGGTGGCTCACTGTGAGGGTGTAGGCTCACTGTGTAGGGTGTAGGCTCACTGTGACTGTGAGGGTGTAGGCTCACTGTGAGGGTGTAGGCTCACTGTGAGGGTGTAGGCTCACTGTGAGGGTGTAGGCTCACTGTGAGGGTGTAGGCTCACTGTGAGGGTGTAGGCTCACTGTCAGGGTGTAGGCTCACTGTCAGGGTGTAGGCTCACTGTGAGGGTGTAGGCTCACTGTCAGGGTGTAGGCTCACTGTGAGGGTGTAGGTTCACTGTCAGGGTGTAGGCTCACTGTCAGGGTGTAGGCTCACTGTGAGGGTGTAGGCTCACTGTGAGGGTGTAGGCTCACTGTGAGGGTGTAGGCTCACTGTGAGGGTGTAGGCTCACTGTGAGGGTGTAGGCTCACTGTCAGGGTGTAGGCTCACTGTGAGGGTGTAGGCTCACTGTGAGGGTGTAGGGTGTAGGCTCACTGTGTGGGTGTAGGCTCACTGTGAGGGTGTAGGCTCACTGTGAGGGTGTAGGCTCACTGTGAGGGTGTAGGCTCACTGTGAGGGTGTAGGCTCACTGTGAGGGTGTAGGCTCACTGTGAGGGTGTAGGCTCACTGTGAGGGTGTAGGCTCACTGTGAGGGTGTAGGCTCACTGTGAGGGTGTAGGCTCACTGTGAGGGTGTAGGCTCACTGTGAGGGGGTGTAGGCTCACTGTGAGGGTGTAGGCTCACTGTGAGGGTGTAGGCTCACTGTGAGGGTAGGCTCACTGTGAGGGTGTAGGCTCACTGTGTAGGCTCACTGTGAGGGTGTAGGCTCACTGTGAGGGTGTAGGCTCACTGTGAGGGTGTAGGCTCACTGTGAGGGTGTAGGCTCACTGTGAGGTGTAGGCTCACTGTGAGGGTGTAGGCTCACTGTGAGGGTGTAGGCTCACTGCGAGGGTGTAGGCTCACTGCGAGGGTGTAGGTTCACTGTGAGGGTGTAGGTTCACTGTGAGGGTGTAGGCTCACTGTGAGGGTGTAGGCTCACTGTGAGGGTGTAGGCTCACTGTGAGGGTGAAGGCTCACTGTGAGGGTGTAGGCTCACTGTGAGGGTGTAGGCTCACTGTGAGGGTGTAGGCTCACTGTGAGGGTGTAGGCTCACTGTGAGGGTGTAGGCTCACTGTGAGGGTGAAGGCTCACTGAGGGTGTAGGCTCACTGTGAGGGTGTAGGCTCACTGTGAGGGTGTAGGTTCACTGTGAGGGTGAAGGTTCACTGTGAGGGTGTAGGCTCATTGTGAGGGTGAAGGCTCACTGTCAGGGTGTAGGGTAGTGAGGGTGTAGACTCACTGTGAGGGTGTAGGCTCACTGTGAGGGTGTAGGTTCACTGTGAGGGTGAAGGTTCACTGTGAGGGTGTAGGCTCATTGTGAGGGTGAAGGCTC